TGTATTATTATTATATTATTACTTTAAAACAGTTCAATACTTGGTTTCCAATAACAACTCTTAAGTCACTCAGGAAACTAGCAGACTTCCTCCTGACTAGAGTCCTTTTACTTCAAACAGTCCTTTTCCTGGGATCTGTTTATACTCTCTACACCAGCTATTCTTCCTTAATAGTTCTCTGTATTCTCTAACTAACTCTTTGGCTTCACTAACTTCCCCTCTCCTTCTCCTAACTCTCTCTTCTTCAAATACCAGAACCTAACTGACTGTCAGATTTCAAAAAGCACTTTTCAAAGCTCTTTTTTTCTGTACTTCAACCGCCCACTTTCTCCCAGACAATCACAAGGGTTCTCCGCCTCCTTCTAAGCTCCGCCTCCACTAGGAAATGACTAACCTAAGATGGCTGCCTTCAGGCACCATTACTCAAAATGGCTGCCAAAAAAAAAAAACTGGACCTAATTTCTGAGCTTTCTTCTTGTCTAAAGGTAGGCAATTCATCACAATGTGCATCAGTGCACCAGAGGCATGCAGGGTAAAAACAAGGGAGGAAAGTAATTTTTAAAAACAGAAGTAACCACTTAACCCTCCCGGGGGGGGGGTCAATACATCCCCTTTTGACCAGCTATGCCCTTGGGGTGTTTCTTGGCAGCCCCCATTTTGGATTATTTACCATGCTTCATCAGGAGCGGGAGTCTATAATGCATTACATATTTTGCAGAGTCAATTTCACCCTGGATCTGGAATACACTGGCATCTCCTATAGCACATATTTTGACTGAACTCAGACTTTCCTGGGAGTTTTAAAATGTATTGTATTATCTTCAATGCACGTTGCCTGATACATTGGCCACGTATGCTTTGTGGCCATTGCACCCTTGAGTCAGCTTCAAATGTCTTTATAAGGTTCATGCAGAAACATCCTATGTCTTTTAATATATGTGTTTCTTTTAAAAACGTTTTATCTATGCAAATCAAATCAAAACATTTATTTCGGTCATTGACCAGCACAGGAAATAGTGTCACATTTCCATACAAACCTGGCATGTTTGGTACATTAAAAATATAAATACAACTACTAAAAACACAATATGGGTGAGGGAGCAGAAGGGGAAACAGGGTAAAAACATACAATGCCCAGATCCATCACCAAATTGTAGATTCAGGGAAGAAGATTACTGGACACACAGTTGACTTTTGGAACTAGTCATTCCCTGGCGGATTTTGTATGCTGCTGCACAGAACTTTGCGACATTGTAGGTTGTAGCTGAATTAGTATCCGCAAGTAGCAGGGAGGTATAAAATTGTCCTGAATGGCCTGGGTGCTTGTCTATCAGAGGTAAGATAAGCCTGGCACGGGTATCCCTGTAGAACGGACACTGAAGGAGCACATGTTCTATTGTTTCCACATGACCCGAGTCACAGGGGCAGAGTCTCTCTGGGAAAGGGATCTTCCGGTAGCGGCCCTCGAGTACAGCTGATGGGAGAGCGTGGCATCGGGCCAGGGTGAAAGCCCTCCGATGAATAGGAACCTCTAAGTATGTTAAATATGCCATAGGGGAGGCAAGGTATCTGCTGTCTTCACTGACAAGGAAGGTTGGAGCCAAGGCCAGAGTTTTATCTATGCATTTTATCTATATTAGACGCCCTCTCTGACCCCGCAAGAACAGATCGCCTTGGTTTACTGAGGAATTGCGGTCGCTGAAACGGGAGAAGAGATGGCTAGAGGACGTGTGGCATGAACTCCATGACAAAGCAGCGAGATCAGCTTATAAGCTATTTAAAGAGTTTTATGAGTATGCTACCACCGAAGCTAAAAAGGTCTACTATGCTTCCTTAATAGCGTCTGCCAGCTCACGCCCGGCCAAATTGTTTAAGGTTATTAGATCCTTGACGATGGTCCCTACCGTCCCAAACAGTAATGATCAGGCCCCTTCAACCGAGGCTTTTCAGAGCTATTTTGCAGACAAGATCTTGTTGCTCCGCCGGGACCTCCCCACCACAATTGATACAGTGAGTGAGCTTGAGACTCCATGGCCACTCACTGGGCCCACCCTCGACCGGTTTATCCTGCTGGACGCAGAGGCTGTTGACGGGATCATGACTGCAGTTCAATCAACCACTTGTTCTCTCGACCCGTGTCCCTCTTGGCTGGTTAAATCTTGCTTGGAGGGATTATGTGGTCCCTTGTTGAACATAATAAATGGCTCCCTTGAGCAAGGAGTTTTTCCAGAGGCTCTGAAAGAGGCCATGGTATCTCCACTGCTGAAGATCTAGATCGCTCGGTTCCCTCCAATTACCACCCGGTTTCGAATCTTCCATTTTTGGGAAAGGTGATCGAGAGGGTGGTAGTGGAGCAACTGCAGCAGTTCCTACATGACACAGCCAGATTAGACCCCTTCCAGTCCGGCTTCCGTAAGGGGCATGGG